TTAACCCATCCAGTCGACCCCCTTAATCTATATTAGATTCTAATGATGTTTACAAAGACAGAAATGCCCTTACTTAAGTGTGGGGCAGAGTAACTCTAATAACACWRCYACATAAGCAAGTTACTTAAYAAAYARAAGAAGACTAAACTACCCCTATTCGGCACATCTTAACACATACAGATATCCATCTTTTAAAACTGGACTGCGTAAGGCCAAGGGCCATTACCCAATGTTAGTCCTTGTCTGGAGTCTTGGGAGGGGTGGATATAGACCCAAGTTTTGACACATTTTACACGAAGTGGCTGCCCTCAGACTTAAACCTGTTTTTTCAACACTTGTCAGCAGATTTCACAATGCACCAAGTGATGGACCCTTTTAAAATGGAACATAATAATCGAAATCCCTTGGAAAAGGAAGGCAAACTTGTTCTTTTTTTTCAGTTCTCTATCTAGTATTGCTTATTCATGTTAGGAATCTTTATAGCCTTTGCCTTTGAAACAACAAAGACGTGGGATAACTAACATCTATGTAGGGTGATCACAAGATACTCTTCCAGAAAAAAACTCTGACGGTGCACGATGTAGTAGACAAAGAAAAAGAGAAAGAAACCATAGAAAAAGAAATCAAATTTCTCCATATTGCTGCATTAGCAGTTTCATAGTTTTGGGTAATTCTAATTTTGGCCAATTTGAACTTTAGAGAACTATTCTCTAGATTTTGATCTTGTAGGAATAGAGTTAATCATCTTAAAGAGTTATATCAGTTTAAAAAAGTTATATTAGAAAGTTTTTAGAATTTTGAAAAGTTGAGATTGCTTCCAATCATGTCACCTTTCTTGCAATCCAAGTTTAAGGGGTCAAAACCTATGTTCTGGACTTGATCTTGTATGATCAGGTACAAGTAGGTTTTTCAGTTATCTATCCAATGAAACCAAGACCTTTGAATCCAAAGTGCTTTGGGGAACTTAATGGACATTTTACTAATAGAGTGCAAGTCTTTGACAAGAATTGAAAGTTTCTATACAAGGGGCTTATTTTAGAGACTTGTTTCTCATTTATTTAGTTCTAGTAGGATTATTAGTTGGTATTTACAGTTGTTTTAGAATTTGGACCTTATTTATTCTTCCTATGGATTGTAATCTATTGGTGGGGAGCTAAGACATTTTATCTCCCCCTTTCTTGTACTTATATTTCTCTTATTTAATAAAAGTTTTCAGTTACTGATAAAAAAATTGTTCCTATGGATTACCTATGGGTTTGTTCTTCGTTCTAAAGCAGTTGGAAGTTATTTCTGGTCAATTACATAGTTGAAATTGGAGTCTACAAATTTAGTAATTGTAACTGAAATTTCAATAAATAGAAAAAAACCAAACACCCTTTCCCTTACACCAAAAAGTGTGAGTCAAGGATGCCACTGCTGATCTAAGTTCCATTTGGCAATAGGGAGACCCAACAGCCATGCAAACTCTTCCTCTTCATTAGAGGCAACAATAGCCACTGGCTCAAAGTGCTTTTACCCCACCATGTGAAGATGTCACTAAAAACCTGCTATTCCAAATTTTCTAGATCAACTTCCATCAAATTTCAACTTTACGTCATGGTTTGATGCTAGGGATATATACAACCCATTTGTAGCTGCCATGGAGAAGAATGAATAATGGTTTGGAAATCCTGATTCAAATCATTCATATTTAGTCCTCTAGCTCTGTATCCATGGATGGAGTTTCACAAAAAAAGGAGATAATTATTTCTCAGATAGTAGAGGGAGATAAAGTTCTTCACCAAAGTGTGGTTATTTGGCCCCCTCCCCCAACATTTGAGCATATGCATGTAATGATGCCTAAATTCCAATCTGCACGTATGAAAACCTCTTAATCCAACTACTGGTGTACCATATCACAATTTCTGGACATTAAAATGAATTGAAAAATCCTTTCCTACTTTCTTTAGGAGTGACATTAAAATATATCAGGTTAAAAATAATAAAATGTGTTTTTAACTTGCATGCCTACACATTTTGAGAATGATCTTAGAAAAAAGACTGTACACTGAAAGACAAACTAAAGAGTAACAGGCATAACTTAGACCTCTATATAGAGCAGGAAAAGCAAAAGCATATGAAACTCACTAAAAATCATTAACCAGAAGTGTCCATAAGCAGTTGAACCATGATATTGTCACAAATAATATAGTTAAGGCAGTCTAGTGGAGCCTAAGTGTAATGGCCTGGAAAAGCAAGCCAACACCTAGGCAATAAAAATAAATCAATAAACACAAACACATCTTATGATGTATATATAAACATTATGTAATCGCATGCTCATTATAAACCATAAATAAATGATCTAGTGACAACTTATACCTTATTTTAGAAAGAAATGAAAAGCTTTTAAAATAACTTTCATGGTTTGACATGAAGTGCGCATAAACAAATAGGGATTAAGAGCCCTAATTTTTAGCTCTTTATACACTCGTAATTACCCAAAACCATGGTCATGTCAACATATAAAAGGAGAACAATTTCTTATTTCCCCCACTAAGAGGTCTACATCTAATACTAACCACCTAGATGGTTGTATGGTGATAGGCCTCCAAAATGCCCAAGTGGTTGCCTAGTTGACACATAGACCATGCTTTGACTATACAAGTTAGAAATCTACAAACCACAGCATTGTTCAGTTTATGCGCTCACCTCTGTTTATATAATTCATAAGGAGAATAGATGGCCTTCACTGTGTCCAGTAAAACCTGGAGATCAGATTCCAAAAACAAGTGTTGGATATTCCTCGCAAAAGTACCAGTCATATTGTGCAGTTCTATCAGTGCCTCAAGATGCTTAGTCTGTATCTTAGTACCTTTAGGCATATCTCCAGATAAGATATCCAGTACACCTGACATTTTCCAGATGAAGGAAATCAGAGATAAAGACAAAATTAACCTTGCCTTCCACAATTTTAGAACACTGGCATCAAATACATAAAATCACAAAATGTGCTCTAGTATTATCTAAGGCTGTGGTTGGATTCAAGAGATAGAAGGGGAAACAAGGATAGTCAAAATGAATGTCCTTTAGGTTCTAAAATTCACTAAAACAGTGAAAAATGCAGCTAAAACATCTGCTGTTTGGAAAATGCAAAATGCAAGGTTGATACGATCATACTTGGACAAATACAATCTAATAAGAATGTCATTAATCATTTTCTGTTGCATATTTCTGCTCCCACTCCATTCCAAATACAATCTAATAAGAAAATGCAAAATAACCTTCATATCTAAAAACATACTTGGAAGAGGAAAAATCCAAATGGATGACTAACCTTTAGCTAGTGTTCTTGTTTCAGGAACAACATCTCCAGTTGCAAGGTTGATACGAGAAACAAAGCTTGCATTAAGTGCCACCATTGTCTCAATCAGTATCTTTGGAACAAGAACTTTATAGTCATCAGGAAAAGCAACCATACACCTGCAGAAAATGTGTAACGTGTTATATTGAGTTCCATAACTTGAATGCACAAATATTTAATCATGTCAATAGATGACAAGGCTTTCTACTTGTAAACACTTTGTACATATATTATTTTTTTCTTTAATCAATAAAGATGCACAGGTACTCATAAAACACCATGCAGCCATAGGGCTTCTTTTCTCAAAACAATGAAGAAAGGAAAAGAAAAAAAGGAAAAATATCATTTGCCTTAAATGTAAGGAAAAGGAGAGCAAACAAGAGGATATACACTGTTAGAGTCGGCTGTAGAGGGGTTTTTTATGTTAAGAGGGGGGTGTAATGTCTGTTATGTTTTGGTGCAAGTGTTGTGTCCCATACTTAAGTAGGGGCATAAATGTCTTTGTTCTTTAAATTAGAAACCTATAAATAACATCTAGCTGACTAGAGAGATAGAATTCTTCTCTAGTTCGAACCAGTCTTTCTCTTCTATTTCTTCTTCTCTTCTCCTCTCTCTTTCTTCTCTACTCTTTTCTCTGTTATTTACAACTGAAAAAAGTACAGATCTGAACCATCATAACATGGTATAGAGCAACTGTAACAAGTTCGGATCTGCCCAGAATTTTTGCATTGCCCCTTACCCTAGTTCTCTGCAGATATCTCATCAATCACTTGGAGATTTGCAGAAGGGATGAAAAGGAATCATTCTTTTTTCCTATGGAGTTTTTATGCCTCCAGTTGGTGGTGCAGTGGTTGTTTCAGGTGGTTGGTAGAAAACCCTCTAATCAATGGATTGAAGAGGGCTCTTTCAGGTAGTATAGTGGACAGATTGGTGCAGGATGGATTTGTGTGGTTCAGATAGATGGTTGCATGGGTGTTGCAGTGTGAAACTGGTATTGATGAATTGCACACCTAGTGGTGTGTGTTCAAGTGGTTATGTGGTGCTGAAAGTGTAGGACAGCAGTGACTGTTATTGCGGAAAACTGTGACAGCATATGTTTTCAGTAATAATCAGCCATTAGTGGTACAGTGTGGTGGCCAGCAAGTGAAGTGGTGTGATATACTAGTGAGTGGGAAGTTTTTTTTTTCAATGGAAGCTATGGGAGACAGTAGTGAAACATGTGAAAAAAAAAACCCCATTGATCCTCAAGGGTACAGTGATTGTAAACAAGAAGATGCACAGATTATGACATGGCTATGGAATAGCATGGAACCCAAGATTAGTGTTAACTTTATGTTCTTAGATACAAACAAGGAGGTTTGGGACCATGCAAAGAAGCTTTACTCTAGACAAGATAATCGTACCTGAGCATACTAGTTTTATCAAGAGTATTTTAATCTACAACAAGGTAATCAAAGTTAGGAGGAATATCATACTAGTACGAGGAACCTTCGGAATGAGTTGAATGTGTATCATCCCCCTACCTCTGATGTCAAAATTCAGCAACAACAGAGAGAGCAACTTGATGTAACCAGATTTTTAGTAGGGTTAAAGTCTGAATATGAATCGGTGAGAGCACAGATACTAGGTGAGTCTTCCCTTCTCTCTCTTGAAGAGGTGTTTTCCCATCTCTGGAGGATTTCTATTGGACCTACAGAGAACTCTACCATCTCTGATAGGTCTACCTTTGTAGTGACAAAAGGGGGAGGTCGTGGAGGTAGAGGAGGAGCTCGGGGAGTTCAATCAGGTCATGGTGGTGAGCGTATTGGAGGCCAAAATTCAGGGGGAACTCGTGACAGAGGACGTAGTAATGGTTCGAGGAGGTGTACACATTGTGGTATGGAAGGACACACTATCAACTTTTGTTATGATTTACATAACCCACCTTCAACTTGGGCAAATCATGTAGTGGCTAGTGGTAGTAGTAGTTCGAGACAAGAAATTCAGCAAACTGATTAGAGACCTTCTACATCTACCAATGTCTCCAAGAAAGAGATGATGAGTGTCCCACGTGATGAGTATGAGAAGTTCATCAAAGCTACTTCTCAAGAATATGGCTACCCTCTCACATTCAGGTATGGCTTGTTTGGCATCCAAACCCTCTCATTGGATTATCGAATCTAGAGCTTTCAATCATATGACTGGGACTCCATGTGTGTTTTCCTCCCTTTCTCAACCATCCACATCTTCCATATGTGGTAGTGGACTAGTGGTAATGTTGACATAGATTCGTTGTCCCTGTCCTTGGTTTTGTATGTTCCCAAATTTCCATTTACCCTTATGTCTGTTAGTAAATTGATCAAGTCTCTTAATTGCTCTATCACATTTTACCCTTATTGTGTTTTTCAGGATCTCAAGATGGGGATGAAAATTGGTGGAGGGCATGAAGTTGATGGACTATATTATCTTGATGGTGGTGGTTCGTCAACAGCCCTTAGTCATCTCTTTCTCCTCTTCAATGCCACTATAAACTTTGCCATTTGTCTCTTAAAGCACTTAAGTTACTTGTTTCGTCCTTGAGTCGCCTTTCTACTTTGGACTATGAGTCATGTCAGTTTGGGAAACATCATAGTGTTCCCTTTAGTCCTAAGGTTGATAGTCGTATTTTGAGTCCTTTTTCTTTAGTCCATTCGAGCATTCGGGGTCCAAATAAAATAGTGTCATATACTAGTTACAAGTACTTTGTAATTTTTGTTGATGAATATTAAAGGATGACGTGGTTTTACCTTATGAAAGAAAGGAGTGCATTGTTTTGTATTTTCCAAAATTTTTATGAAATTTGCAATCAATTTAGCGTAGACATTAAGATTCTTTGTTCTGATAATGGCCAAGAAGACTTTTATACACTGTTTTAGGAATATTTGGAATAACATGGCATTATCCATCAAACCTCATGTACCTACACCCCTCAACAAAATAAATGGGGTGGTTGAGAGAAAGAACCGTCATCTTTTAGAGACTACTCGGTCCCTTTTGCACCATATGAATGTACCCAAACGTTTTTGGAGTGATGTTCTTACATCTTGATTCCTTATTAATTGGATTCCCATGTCTATCTTTGAAGGTCATTCTCCCTTCTTTGTTTTGTTTCCTACCATGTCTCATTTTCCTCTTACTCCCAAGGTCTTTGGGTGTGTGTTTTGTCCATAATCTTGGGCCTGGAATGGACAAGTTAGATGCATGATCCACCAAGTGTATCTTTCTTGGTTATTCTAGGACTCGAAAAGGGTATGTGTTATAACCCTAGTTCCCGACGTCCTTTTGTGTGTCCAGATGTTACATTCTTCGAGTCGATTCCATTTTTCTCTAAGTCGGATGTCTCTTCTCTTTCTCCACCTCCACTACTAGTTCCCGTTGAGGACCCCATTCCTCTTGTTCTAGTTGTGGCCAAGTCTTTGCCTCCAGTGCAGCTTCCTCTTGAACGACCACCCACCCGGCAAGTGTATAAGCATTAACATGTACTGGCTCCTCCTCCAACCTCTTCACCGTTGACAGATCTAGTAGTTATTCCCACACCAGCATCAGCCCCACCCCCTGTCTCTGACCTTGATCTTCTTATTGCCTTGCGGAAAGGTAAACACAATTGCACCCTTCATCCCATTTCAAATTATGTTTCTGTATCTCACCTTTTTGCATCCCATCGCCAATTTGTTTCTATGTTGTCTTCTGTTTTTGTTCCTAAGGATGTCTAGGAAGCTCTTGCCTCTCCAGGGTGGTGCCATGTAATGAAAGAAGAACTCTCAGCTCTGACTCAGAATCATACATGGGATCTCACCACTCTCCCTCCTGGCAAGCATGTTGTAGGTTGTAAGTGAGTATACATTGTCAAGTATTTACCAAATGGTAGTGTAGAGCGGTTGAAAGTTTGGTTGGTTGCAAAAGGCTACTCACAATTGTATGGTGTTGACTGAGACCTTCTCCCCTATTGCTAAGATTGGCCCAGTCGGTGTTTTGGTATCCCTAATTGCTATGTATGATTGGCCTTTGTTTCAGCTTGACATCAAGAATGCCTTTTTACACGGTGACCTTCTTGAGGAGGTCTATATGAAACAACCACCAGGGTTTGTTTCTCAGGGGGAGGATGGTAAGGTGTACAAACTCAAGGCGGGGCCATTTATTGACTTAAACAGTCTCCTCGTGTATGGTTTGGTAGATTCAATAAAGCGGTGAAAGAATTTGGCATGAGACAGTGCTAGGTTGACCATTCAGTAGTTAGTTACGATTCAGATGCTGGGGAGATGTTGTTGGTGGTATATGTAGATGACATTGTTATTACTAGCAATGACAGATTGGGGATTGATACGCTAAAGATCTTTCTGCATGATCACTTCCAAAAAAAGGATCTTGATAAATTAAAATATTGTTGGGGATAGAGATAGCAAGGTCTAAGCATGGTATTAATTTGTGCCAAAGGAAGTATGTTCTTGATTTGTTAGAGGAGACAAGATTGTTAGGTGCCAAACCAACTGAAACACCCATGGAACCAAATGTCAAGTTAAGTAGTGATGCAAGTGAAGAGTTTGAAGATCTTGGAAGTTTCAGGAGGTTGGTGGGTAAGTTGAATTACCTAACCATCACTCGGCTAGATATATCATTTGCAGTTAGTGTGGTGAGTCAATTTATGCAGAATCTTCAACTTCCAAGTCATGGCTTGTTATATAAGAGTGGAGGAAGTCTTGAGATAGAGGGATACACAAATGCTGATTGGGCTGGTTCAATATCTGACAAGAGGTCCGCTACAGGGTATTGTACCTTTCTTGGGGGCAATTTGGTAACATGGAAGAGCAAGAAACAGTGTTTAAGCTGAAAATAGAGCCATGGCACACACTACATTTGAATTAGTATGGTTGAAGAACCTCTTACAAAAGATGGGGTATTCGATTTATACTCATATGAAGCTCTATTGTGACAACCAAGCTGCAATCCACATTTCTTCCGACCTAGTTTTCCATGAAAAAACAAAACATATAGAAGTTGATTGTTACTTTATGAGAGAGAAGGTACTCAGTGGAGTGATAAGTAATGCATATGTAAACATAGGAAGTCAATGGGCAAACTTGTTCACCAAAGGTTTGAGTTAGGGAAGAGTGGATTACATATGTAACAAGCTTGGACTATATGACATATACTCACCAGCTTGAGGGGGAGTATTAGAGTCGGCTGTAGAGGGGTAGTGATCATTTTGTTTTATGTTAAGACTGAAGTGTAACGTCTGTTCTGTTTTGGTTTTAAGTGTTGTGTCCCATATTTAAGTAGGGGCATAAATGTCTTTCTTCTTTTAATTAGAAACCTATAAATAACATCTAGCCAACTAGAGAGATAGAATTCTTCTCTAGTTCAAACCAGCCTTTCTCTTCTCTTCTCTCTCTTTCTTCTCTACTCTTTTCTCTGTTATTTACAACTGAAAAAGTACAGATCTGAACCATAACATACACAATTACAAACAATCTAGACAATTAGCCCTCCCCTCATAACAAGAATTAATCAGGCAATAACCTGTCAATATACAAAAAGGCTCTCTCAATCCTTGACTTGGATATCCATCAACCTTAGAATTTTGCTCCCTAGAAATCCACCAGAGCAGGCAGCAAGAGGTACTATAATTTCACTCAAGAAGTGAACAAGGTGCCATGGGTCTACCTAGTGTTTGGCTCCAGTTAATAGTAACCATTGAGGCACATGTAACTATTATGTCATTCTGATCCCAATATGGAGGGATCTAACCTCAGCATCACCTAAGAGGCCACTGAAGAACCATATAAAAAACCAGAAATGCCTACAGCTCCAAAATTAAGCCTGAAGCAGCCATCGAAGTCTCTAGTCACCATCATGGATGAGTGGAAGGGTGGTTCTCCTAATAGGCACTGGGAGAGGATTGGGGGAAAAACCATTAAATGCCTGCAGCTGCAAAATTAAGCCCAAAGCAGCCATCAAAGTCTCTAGTCACCATCAAGGATGAGTGGAATAGTGGTTATCCTGATAGGCATTGAGAGAGGATTGAAGAATCTAGGTAGATCTCTCCTCGTGTCTTCAAAGTAAAGCCCTTTGAAATCAACCTTGACCAGCATCTTGCTAAGCAAGAAGAGGGTACACCTCAATGCCTTGAAGGAAGCAATGTATCAAAAAAAAGGGTTGTCTTTAGCTTTGTGGCCAATTTGCAACTTGACTAGTAAAGGGGAAAATCAAATTATTTATGTCTATTGTCTTGGACAAATATTTACACATTAACAATAGCAAAAAACACAGCCCTGGTATAAAAGACATTGTTTGTGTAACAAGTGTTCCCAAAGAATATATATACTTATTTCATATATAATTGCTGCATTCTTGCTTGACAGTATTGACAGAAGATTCAAATGAGAGAAGAGGGGAGGATATAACCATACCACTTCCATTCCTGTTCAAGATAGAGTAGCACTTCGTCATAGAAACTTGGCAACCAACTGGAAAATGAAAGTACAGACAAAGCTGATTGAGACTCAGTAACATTTGATAGTGGTTCACCATCATGCCTCTCACTTGCAAGCTTAGCAGTTCGCTGCCTGGACTCAAATTCTTCCCAAAGTTGCCTGATTGGCTTTAGGTGGACTTTTGTGTACTGCAGCTCTAGAGACTTGAACCTTCCAATTCGAATCAGGATATTCCGTAAATCTTGAACAGCATCAACCTATAATAGAAAATAGAGAATAAATTAGCAAATCTAGACATGCAGACTACAAGGCCAAGCTGAAGTTAGAAAACTCTTTGAAAAGAAAGCAACCAGTAAGTGTACAAGATATGAGATCAAAGTAAACCTTGCGGTTGGATAAAGCATCAGAAAGACGAGGTTGAACCATTGCCTCTAACCTATCCTCTAAGACTTCAAGCTGCTTTCTAACATTGGAAAACTCTGCAACCTGAACATGTGAAAGTAAAAAATAAATCTTACAAAAAACACATTAAGTTCCGGAAGACCATGCTTAGGAAAGTAAATTTAGTGCAGTAAATTAACTAATGAAGAGAATAGATTACCTCACCAACGGCAGACAAACAATGTCTCATGTTCGCTAAGGTTTCTGCAGCCCGCGGTAGATCACCACTGGCAAAAACATCCTCAACACTTGCACTCAATTGTGTCAATCCTGCAGCATCCTGTTTTTCAATGGAAAATAGCTTTAGAATACTGAAATAGCATAACACAAACACAAACTTCCTCCACTCAACTGGTAAAGCACATAAATATGAGTAATCAACATTCAAGACTATTATTACCTGCAATGTCTTATATGCAGCTTCCATCCTCTGCTTGACCGTGTCAACTTTAGCAAGGGCAGCTACAGATTCAGCTGATGAACCCTCTGCCTGCAGTTGAAAGGACAAATTCTATAAATATTTATAGTTTTTTGCTCCTTCGAAAAAGTAGCACCAAAGGTACCAAAGTACCGATATGATTTAGAAGTTCTCTTCAACATTCTATCAGCCATCCACATGGCACATCTGTGCCACATGAAACTTGTTTGCAGAAAATTCTAGCGAAGAAGCCCACCTGGTTGCTAGCTCGAGAAACAAGAACAAGTGACAACACATCTAACAAAGGCAATCACCAGGTTATTATGTCCTCAGGGAACTTGCCAGACCCCAGAGAGTGCATGTGGTACCAAGGCATAACATTTGGTAAACACTCATTTCATATGCTTTTTGCTTGTTTACTTATTTTTTATACAATAGTTTGGGGTCACCATACCATAGGCAATTTAGGGCTGTCAATTAATATAATCATGTATCTCTGAATTACAATTTTCTGATTCTCATAACCACGTTATGAATTTATTATCTGATGCAAGACATTCATATTAAAAACACAAATCAGCATTATACCACGTTCATGTGAATAAATACATCACGAATTGGACATATCAAGTTTGGAATCCTTGTATAATTTACTCCCCGATCATTAACATGTACTTGCCTACAGACCCTGGAATTCCCGCCATCAGTGGCTGCATTTTGACAAGCATATTATATCTCTTTAATACTGATACAGACCAATCTCCAACAAATTCAATTCAGGTCGTTTGCATTAAATAACCAAAGAGAAATGCCACCAAATTTCCACCTTGGATCTGCTATTTTAAACGAACTAAAATTCTACTCGGATAAAGAATTTAGTAGAATGGAGGATGGATCTGGGTACCTTTTTGAGCTTGAGTAAGATGCCGGTGACAGAATTCCGGAGAGAGATGGCGTCGTCGCGGAGGCGAATGACATCACGGCTAGCACGAGGGACTCGAAGGAGAGAGGCACTGCTCTGCTCCTCCAGAGACGCAGCAATCTCTTCGGATATCATCTGCAACTTCATTTCCAGATCCGCCAAGTGCTTCTCCACTGGGTCTTGAGGGTGCCGAGATTGGCAGACCACATTGATCCATTTCTTCGCATCGAATTTCTCGTCAGAAAAGGCTCCCAAATCAACCATCATCTTTCCTAGATCAATATAATTTCACGAACTATCTCTGGTTCGCGCCTGGTTTCAAGACTTCCATGTTGGAATTTGGAGAGGGCTCTGGAGCTTTGAAGTTGCCCGGTGACCGGTGTGAAGTACTAAGTGTGAACAAAACTCACTACCCAAAAAACAAAAAAGTGTGAATAAATCTGAAGAAAAAAACTAAATTACATAGAAACCCCTGTGCTTTAGGACTGTGACATTTCGCCCCGTATATATTTTGGGAGTAATCGTGAGATTTATACATTAATCGTGACACCTTGTTTTTATTTCTTTGTGTAAATTATAAAGACCCATTTTTTAAACTATAGAATCAGTGACAAAGGCCCCATGAATTTTGACAGTTAGACAAATACCCCTTCGTTAACATTCCGTTCGTTAACTTAAAAAAGGATTCTCATCCTATTATTTAAAATTTTCTAAATATCTAAATTGTCTTTTTTTTTAATTTATTTTACCTGTTTTAATTCATGAAATCATCTTACTTTTTTTACAGTTTGTTCTGTCTATTGTCTTTTCCATTGAAGTTAATTAAAATGGCTATGGTAAAAATCACGGTTTTGGAAGTTGGAACATTAAGGTGTTTGGAAACATGAGCATTTTTTGGGACCGTTTATAAAAAAAATGTCCACGCTTGCTAGACCCGTTTTTTACAAAAAAAACACATTCATATGTTTGGTAGTGTTTCTGCCACATAGGCAATGAGCAACACTAATATTGTTTGGCAAGGTGATTTTCCTCACCGTTTTTCATGTAAGCGCCACATCATTCAACCATTGGGGGCAATGGTTCAGCGATCATGCAACGGTTGAGATGTGATTCACGATGCATGTTCATTTTTCAGCTTGAACCAAACAGTCATGTAGGCGGTTATTTGTGGAATCGCCTAAATGGATCTGACGTGGCACCATTTTTTCAGAAAAACACCCATACTTCCAAACATCCCTCAAGTAAAAACACATTTTAACTGTGAAACATTGAAGAAGAGGGCAATGTGCTTTGCATTTTGCTTGCCTTCATATGGAGAAACCATTGGCGAGATGGTCGAAGTATTTTTTGACAAGAATCAATGAAGGTATTTTTAAGTCAGGTAGGTTTTAAGAGAAAAAAGAGTAAGAAAAAGAAAATAGAGAGTAATTAAAGTGTAGGGGGTCTTTATCACTGACCCCATAAATACAAAGGGTCCTTGTAATTTACCCTTCTTCCTTCCTTCTTTTTTGCTCTGCTTTTTTTTTAGGTTAATTATTTAACACTTATGATAAATTGATAAGCCTTGACCTCGAGTCTCTGACTTTTAGGTAGGGGTGAACAAGAAAAAACGAAAAACTTAACCGAATTGATGAAATCGAACTGAAAATTTACGTTTACCGAATTGATCAATTCGATATTTTGGAAAAACAAAAAGTATTAATTCGGTTTTGGTTAACCAATGTAAAAAACCGATAGTTAATATGTATATTATATATGTATATATTTTATACTATCTATATATTATAAATGAATATATATTATATATTAAAAATACATTTATTTATAATATATATAATATATTTTTTATTATTTATAATATAGTATGTTATATGTATTTCTAGTCTTTTTATAATATAATATAACATTTGATATTTATTATATATAATATTGTGAAAATCAAAAACCTAAAACTGATGAACTAAATCAACGATTAATCAAACCGATCTACTTCAGTTCGATTTTAGTTACCAGTTTTTCAAAAACCAATACCACCAGTTTGCTAAAAAGGCCTACGGTTTGGTACCATGAGCATCCCTAGCTTTAGGCCTATGTCACTAATTAAATTTTATAATATGGGCTTGAAGTATTGGGCCCAGGCCCGACCTGTAAATTTTCAGCCTTAGTGCAGGCATTTATCGGGGCACGCTAAGAATGATCACCCTTAAGCAGTAATCACATTGCACCTAACATCACCAGGTTTAGACGTATATCCTCTATATAATAATAAAAAAAAGGACATGAATCCTCTATTAAGGAACGGGATCTGCTCCTCACACACGGGTGCCTCACAAGCACATTCGCCGTGCATTGAGAACATCTTCTATGAATAATAACTTATAAATATGAGAGATGTTCTCAATGCATGGTAGGATGTGCGTGTAAAATCGGTGGGAGGTGCCCTGTGTGAGGAACAGATCCGGTCTCCTCTATTAGCTTTTTTGCAACCCAACTAGGCTTTTTCACCACAGCCAATTGTCTCAGTTGTATGTGATACTGCACCACCAGCATTCCTTTCATCTCTCAAACATACTCTCTCTGGGGCCGTTCTCTTCTCAATAAATAAGTTTCTATGGAGGTTTTTGGCTCTTTATTGGTTGAAGATAAAGTTGATAGATTATGTGAGAAACTTTACTATTTAATTATTTTATCAACTAAACAATAAGTATTTCATTTCAGCTACAACCATTATCAAACGGCCTCTGATCTTTATCAACTTCTGTACACAATTAGCTACCTTGGGAACCTCTCTATATCCATTTATTTCTATTCATCTTCTAATTTCTCCACCCTTACCTCAATGATTTGAAAAACAACATGCTCACGCGCAATTTTTTGTATCTTGCATATTGTTATTTTAAACCTTGCTAGTATAGATTTTTCAGGTCTTTGCTCCTTTACTCCCAAATTTCACAGTTATTTCAATTATTAAGGCTGAGTTTGGAAGGAGTACAAATGCAAATATGTAGAGTGCAAAACTTTATAATTTGTATTATTTTGTATGTATTTATGTTATACACATTTGCATTTGCATTTGTTATCTTTCCAAACTGAGTCTAAGCTTTTAGCTCTATTCAAAGCTGATCTGCATTAATTCTTCCTTGCTGGTTTTTAAGTTTTTAGGTTCAGTTTGGAAAGAGTATAAATACAAATATGTACAATGCAAATATATACAAAATATAAGGTTTTGCACTTTACATATTTGTATTAATTTGTACTCCTTCCAAACTAAGCCTTAGGTTGTATTTGGTTGCAGTGCAATTTTATTTGCACTAGTACAAATGCATGGAAGTACAAATAAAAAAAATGCTAATTCTTGTTTAATTTTGTTTTGGGTTTTGTCATTATTTTGCTTCATGTCTTAATTTACTTCATTTGTACTACAATCAAACAAAATAAGCTAAAATTTAAAGTAAAAATAACCTTTAGGGGCCCTGCTAGCTCGCCCTTATCGAGGTCGAGATCAGTCTGTGCGATGTGCTCCAAGCTAACCTATTGAGTTGGTCTGCTGACTTGGCATTGTGAGGTCGATAATGGCCACGTGTCATCATTTGTTTGGGAGGACCAAATTACCCCTCATCAATTGCCCTCCACTTTTGAGCCAGTGTCAGTTCGATGAAGAGAGTAGGTCCTTCTAGGTGTTTGGTCCAATTGCCTCGTGGGTGGCCCAACTCACTCGAGTTCGGCTCGCGCTACTTGAGTCGTGCATTCGAAAATTTTGAATCTTGAAAAAAAGGGGGAAAAATGGCACGCACACCGAGGAGCATTTTTGGCGGGCGCACAAATTTAAATTCAAATGAGCGTGTGTTGTGCGTGTGAATTTGAACTTCTAAATTTGCACGCGCCCGAAATTTTGAGTTTGCGCGCGCCCTGCCAACTGTAGCTCGGCTGTTTTGCACATCTGCGTTATTGGACTCCTGACCTGTGTGTCCTTGCCAGCTGTAGCCTGCATTTGCATTGTTGATTCCATTCTTGGTGAGTTATAAGTATGGGGTCCCCTGTCAAGGTCCCCACACGTACACTGTTGTTTCTTGGAGTTTTCTGGAAGGGATCTGTCCAAGAGGTCTGCAAGCAAAGCTAGTCTACCGAGACAAGCTCCAGTTCTCTACTAGTTCGAGTTTTGTCGCTGTCGTTTTCTAGTCTTCTTCTATTCCTCCGGTGAGTATTCAAGTTTTTTGCCATGTCGGGTAGTCCGGTGGAGTGTAGATCATCATATCAGGGGTCCGAAGGTAAAGCAAGCTCCTCGGGGGAGGATTCGTATGATGTATACTGTGATGGTGCCTTGGTGGGGAAGAGGCACGAAGTTGAGGAAGTTGTAAATGCTTTTGGCCCAATCGAGCTCTCTAGGGAGCAAACAGTTGAGTTATGCCATAGGTATGAGATCCCAAACGAGTTCAATTGGATCGAGTTGCTGGCCAATCATTATCCTTGGAATCATGGTCTAAACGCATTGTGTATCTACGAGGAGACGCTATCTACTGGTCTCCGTTTTCCCCTTCATCCCTTCATTATTGCTGTCTTGAGACATTACCATGTATCCTTAGGTCAACTCGCGCCTAATGCGATTCGGACTTTGGTGGGGTTAATCAGCCTATTCCACCACTGTAGTTTCCCATTGAGTATTGAGGCTTTTGCCACCTTGGTGCACATGAAGAAGATTTTTGGCTCCTTTTGCTTCTACCTTCTATTTCATAATGGTAGGAAGGTGTTAGTTGATTTTCCAAACAAGGTCAAGGGATGGAAGAAAAGGTTCTTCTTTTTGGCTAGGGATGGTGACTGGGGTTTGGACACTGTTTGGTACAGTAGCTATCAAAGGGTTGCCGAGAGCAAGGATCGTGAGTTGTGCGCTACTCTTCGGGAGTTGATCTATGAGGAGGTTCAAGTTCAGAGGGTCTTAGCCGAACATATGCTTGTGCGGGCTAGTTTGAGTTGTATAGGTAGGTCAGTTGCTGGGACATGCATCTGCATTTCGTATTTCTCATAATGTCAGCTTGACTAACTGTTTAATTTCTTCCGCAGGCATGGCGAGCTTGGCTTCTATGATGTCAGTCGACAAGGAGAAGAGGTCTCGAAAAAAGCGTTGAGCTGAGCGTCATTCTTCTATGGAGGGACATCGGTTGGCATGCCTTCCGTCGTCGACCTTGAGGGGGATGATGAGTTGATGTGCACAAATCAGCACCCGGCTGAGTCTCAGGTTGATCAGGAAGAGCGAGAGGTCGACCCCTATGTTTCGGATATCCCTCCCTTCATCCCTAGCATTCCTGATGTTTCGATGATAGACCAGTTGCACAATGCACGCGTAGCTCTTTGGATAGCTAGGGGTATACTTCTCCGTAAAGACATGTGCCAGTACGGCGAGCTGGATC